TGCATCTGATCTTTGGAGGAGTGGGAAGTTTAGTTTAGTTAATTGAGATTCAAGTAATCAAAGTTTGGCTGTAATATCTTCTAATCATTCATGATAATAATTGATATCTCATATAACACTCTCCATGAAGAATGTATGCATTTGGTGCTGATGCTCAGGGCATTATTGTTGGGAGTGTCCATTGGACGTTATATCTCTGTGTACGTGTGCCCAGTGCAGATCCACCTGACACTCAGTTCCTTCCACTAAATCAGAATCCATTGTAATACTCTGAAACTGTGGGGAAGAATAATGTGATTCGACATAGCAGTCATCTGTACTAGCTGTGGTGGTTCTTTGTAAGTGGCTGTTGTTTTCATTTCCAAGCATTGCCCCTTTCGTTCCCCACTTTAGGTGATGAACAAGCAGACTCAATCCGTAGAGTAATACTATATAAAGGTATGACATTTCAGAGACATGCAGTAGTGGCTGTCTTGGATCTGGTGGAATGCACTCAACACATTAGTACCGAAATTGTCACTCAATCATAGCAAGAGTTTATACATCGTCTAATTCATTTAGACAAGTGATTTTCAACCTTTTCTTCATGTGCAGACCCTTAACAAATTTCTAATGGAGGTGCGAACCTCTTTGGAAATCTTAGACATAGTCTGTGGACCCCTGGTTGAAAACTACTGAATTAGACAATCTGAGTGGCAATTGATTGCTCCCTAGTATTATCTTCATGAGTTTCCAGCAATCTAGAGGTTTTGGAAAATGACTTATTTCTGTATAGATAGGAACAAAGTGCCCTCTTCACTTTTGAAGAAGCCTAGTCTTTCTTGGTTATGAATGGGCTTTGGGGGGAAAAACTTATTGTTGATTTTTTTTTATATGGAAATCAGAGACTCACTTTGATAAGACTTTAGAACATGGGTATAATGCTACTATTTCCTTATAGAACACTGCTGTGGTAATATCTGAGACTATCCAAGCTGATAAAATCACCACCAGTGATGATTTTTCAACAAGGGGGAGGCCAGGCATATCCTGGCAGTGGCTTTTAAATGATTGTTCCACCAACTTAAGTATCACATTCAAATTCCAGAAGATAGTGACTCCCACACTGGAGGAAATATATTAAATAAGCTTTTCAGAACTGTTATCACCTTAGGATGGGAGAATGTGGTAGAGTTCTGTACAGAAAAATGGCAGACTGACTTGCCTAGGGTCAGAAAATCCAGCAGAAGAACAGAAAAATCCATTACTAGGTCCAGTAGAATGTACAACCAAAACTGACAAACGAAAGCAAGAGCTCTGAGCAGTGCTTCAGACTCTGTGGTGTTTTGGTGATGAGAAAAAGTGGAAGGAATGCACAGAGGAGGTTGGATTGAAAAATACCCACTTTTAAGCTTGTTATGGCTTCATCCACTGCAATAGGGAATGCACAACCACAGAACATAAATCTGTGGTTCATGTAATAATGAGGAGGTTGATGTATTGTTCTCAGCCAGCTTTGCAGTGTGCTCAACCAGAGTCAAGTCGTGTTCTCTCAGTTCAGAGTGGAATGCAATTTTGCAGTTTTTTTTTCTCTTAAATCAAAGGAATTAAATATAAATATCAGCATTAAGATTGAGCAATCAAACTATCACTGGTCAGGAAATTCCAAAATGTAGGTATTTTTCTGCAGCATTAACACAACCATATTGGATAGCTTTCAATTTTTTATGTTATAAAAATAATATATTTCACATTTAAGAAAGAAAACAAAAATAGAAAGCAGATGGGCAATGTTGACTTATTTTACATTCATTCCTTTATTTAGCTTTATTTTGTTCTTATCCCACACTCCTGGTTGCAGTAGAAACCTTAACTTTTGGAATTTCCTAACTTACGAACAGTTTATATGCAAGGAGAATAGTGGGACCCTCCCAAGCTTTGTCCACAAGCCACGCTCCAGCTGCATCAGATGCGACCCAGATTAACTTTGCAGACCATTGTAATGTGATCGTTTCTCTCTCTTCTTGGCTGTTTTGATCAGCTGTAAGATGGTTAACAATGTCGACATCTCAACTGTCATCTGTAGGCTTCAGTGATGAAGAGGGTCTGATCACACTTCTCAAATGATTCCGGTTGTCTGCACATTTAGCCGACATCACTTCACTCATTATATTCAATTCACATTTGAAAGCAGCCATATAAGGATAGACAATTTTGGGGGGGTGAATGTGCGGGATTATGTAAAACATTATATTCTACAGAACAAGAAGGCAGGCTTGTTGGAAACATACTGCTCAGCTGACCATAGGTCCTGGAACTAGGTGTGCTGCTGCACCCCCTGGCTAGAATGGTTTCCATCATATGCAGGGTTTACAGTTTGGTTCAATGTCTCTCAGCACCCCCACTGTACAAATTGTTCCAGCACCCCTGCAGCTGACACAACCCTGCGCAGTCAGACTCCAGGTTTAGAGTACTTGATTTCTCATCCTTAATGTTGCACTAACACTAGTTTTTTGCGTTCTATATATAATTATATTAGGTATGACTATTTTATCCCTTTTAAGTATTACATCTTTCACACCCAATATATCTGAGAGCTTTACAAAATAAATATATATGCTATGTACCTGATCCTTCAACCTTTCGTTATTTTTCTCAGCATATAGTGTAATGATGATCTTAGAAGGGATGTGAATACAAAAGTTATTCCTGTTTTAGATATTATAAAAATCCTTCCCAAGACGAGAAACAAGAGAGATCCCTACAAACCACACAACAACCCCCTTGAATTTCAACCAGATGCTATGGCTAAAGTCAAGGGAGCAGTGTTTTTCCACGTTGAAATATCTGCCCTCAAAACAGTGGACTTAGTGGAAGAGAGAACATCATGGAAGCTCTTTCTAACTCACAATACTGCATAGATGCCCTTTAAATAACATGCATAACCTCTTTGGTATAATAAAGCTTTTATCTGGACTTATTAAGGTGCCGTAGTCATTAACTGGGGGCCCTGGGCTTTGCCATTTGAATGATGTGATCACCCCAACTCATGATAATAAAATCTGTTACCCCCCAACCAGTAGTACGGTCCCTCTTTCTAAACATAAATATGTGTATAAACACTTGCATATACATGTTTATTATACAAACTTAATCAATTTGATCACTCATATTTCAGTAGTATTTCTCACTCAAATTTGGGATGTGAGAAGCAGATGATGTATCAAAGAAACATTATTTTACTATATTGTTTTCATTAGCCCTTTGCAACTGCTGTTTTTTTTGGAATCCTTAATCTGCTATTTCTCAGGTGTCCCTGAATTTTGTTTTTTTCCTGCCAGGGAGTCAAGAGACATGGGCATCACAAATTATATCATAAAACACATGAAATGACTGCAGATTAGGAGGTCAACAATTGTTAAATTAGATTTTTTCCCTTTCTTTTGTTAGCAACTTCTACTTTAAAATCCTTTTTAAAAACAAAAGAGTTTTCTACATAGAGTAACAAAGAATATCTGCTTTGTGATTTCATTTTCTTGAGGAATTAATTTCTAGCTTCTTAAAAATGTCTGATTTTGAAAATGCTTTTAAATTAAGGGAAATTCACAAGAATGAATGTAGAGTGTATTTTGTTTGTTTATCTAATGTGTGTATAATACATAGTTTGAAATCACAATACACTGAGTGCTCCTAGAATAGACCCGTTGTTTTCCTTTGTGTTGCGTTCCAAAATCAGATTCAGATATTCTTACCTTTTTGAGTAAATAAAAAGGTTGGTTGCTCTTAAAAACAAAATCCCAGGAGGCTGTTGATATGTTTAAAAAAAAAATGTAACTAATCCACTCTGTCTGCAACATACCACATTTTAGTGATAGGAGAGAAATATGTTGTTTTACCTTTGATGTCTGCAGTAACAGGCTGAAAAAATAGACACTGGTGAATGCTTTTGTTTAGTCCTCTGTGAGGTGTTTTGGTTTTTACTGTACTGTATATGTGTGGTTTGCAGTGCATGTATGTAGAATTGCATAGGAAATTTGCAGCTGCTCTAGTTATTTGGTAAGATTTGTTTAAGCTGGCACAAGCGACAAAATTAGAAGGAACTTGAACCATTGCTGTGCAGTTTATTAGCCAGGCATCCATAATTTTGACCTTGATGTGGGTTAAAGGACACAGACCTGAGAAGAAATCTGTTTATCATGTAGGGAATTCATGCCATCCCTGACAGTGTACAGTGAACAAGATGGATGATCTGCCAGATTGGTCCCTCGCATGGTTGAATCGGGGCAAATTTACAGTACAATTCCTTTGCTGTTCCTGATACAAAAATAACATTTGCTGGGTTTTATATTCTATTGTATGACGACTTGGGGGTGAGCAGAAAGAAGAAATAATATTTGTAGGATTCTTATTGCCTTAAAGATGTATATAGAACTTGCTCTCCTTTTATGTCTCTCTCTTTTGCATAAACTATTTAAAAAATTCATTTACTTTGGTTGAGAGAGCAGTTTCTGTGAATGTGTTGGGAAGACTTCCCTAAATACAATATGGTAAAAGCTTTTATTGCCTTGAATACCCCCATTTTATTGTGATTGCATTCAAACACCATGTTTATTTGTGAAGTATATTCCTCTATAATAATTGACGCATCAAAATATTTTGTAAGAAAATGACAGAGAAAACAATACCTAGAAATCTTATAGCCAAGTGAGTTTCTTGCAGCCCTCCACAATATTGAATGTTAATTAATTATTTGTGTTATTTTTCTGTTGCACTTATGTATCTTGTCTCTCTGAGAAAACAGAGATTAATCAAATAGTAAAATTACAAAATAGCATAGTTTTAAAATGAAACCTTTCAGTACCCTAGCCCTTAAAAACAGCATTTTAGGGCTTTGGTGTACTTTTTGCATACCTGGGCATTTGTTAAAATATGTAGACTATAAACGAGAAGGAAGGTAGTTGTAATGCTTTGATTGCAAGATAATTATGCTGTAGTCAGTTTTTCTCCTTTTTTAATTACAGAAAGCACTCCAAAGACCTCTGCCAGTTGCAGTCCTGCTCCTGAGTCTCCTATGAGTTCCAGTGAATCAGTGAAGAGTCTGACTGAATTGGTACAGCAACCCTGTCCTGCTATAGAGACAAGTAAAGATGGCAAACCTCAAGAATCAAGTGAGCCACCTGTTCCTGAATCCCAGTCGACAACACCTTTGCCTCTCTCGGGACATTCAGCACTTAGCATTCAAGAACTGGTTGCTGTCTCTCCTGAATTGGACACATATGGCATTACAAAGAGGGTTAAAGAGGTGTTAACAGACAACAACCTTGGTAAGTTGCTTTGTTCTAATGTCTTTAATGAAATAAAACAAAGTATTAATGCTTTTTTTAAAGTAATGTGTCACTAGAAAGAATGTTAAAGGGACTGTATCAAACTGTTTAGGTCTAAAATGTAATCTGTTTTGAAATTGTTCTAATCCGATAAAGAATGTCTTCCAGATTTTAAATACCTACTTCCAAACAAAAAATCATAACTCTGTCACTCTTCTACATCATGTACATGTAAACCTGGCCCACTAAGCAGAATACCATCCCCAGTTCCCTGTCCACAGTCATCTGAGTCATAGAATCATAGAATATCAGGGTTGGAAGGGACCTCAGGAGGTCATCTAGTCCAACCCCCTGGTCAAAGCAGGACCAATCCCCAATTCAATCATCCCAGCCAGGGCTTTGTCAAGCCTGACTTTAAAAACTTTTAAGGAAGGAGATTCTACCACCTCCCTAGGTAACCCATTCCAGTGTTTCACCACCCTCCTAGTGAAAAAGTTTTTCCTAATATCCAACCTAAACCTCCCCCACTGCAACTTGAGACCATTACTCCTTGTCCTGTCCTCTTCTACCACTGAGAATAGTCTAGAACCATCCTCTTTGGAACCCCCTTTCAGGTAGTTGAAAGCAGCTATCAAATCCCCCCTCATTCTTCTCTTCTGCAGACTAAACAATTCCTGTTCCCTCAGCCTCTCCTCATAAGTCATGTGTTCCAGACCCCTAATCATTTTTGTTGCCCTTCGCTGGACTCTCTCCAGTTTATCTACATCCTTCTTGTAGTGTGGGGCCCAAAACTGGACACAGTACTCCAGATGAGACCTCACCAATGTCGAATAGAGGGGAACGATCACATCCCTCGATCTGCTGGCAATGCCCCTACTTATACAACCCAAAATGCCATTGGCTTTCTTGACAACAAGGGCACACTGCTGACTCATATCCAGCTTCTTGTCCACTGTCACCCCTAGGTCCTTTTCCGCAGAACTGCTGCCTAACCATTCGGTCCCTAGTCTGTAACGGTGCATTGGGTTCTTCCGTCCTAAGTGCAGGACTCTGCACTTATCCTTATTGAACCTCATCAGATTTCTTTTGGCCCAATCCTCCAATTTGTCTAGGTCCCTCTGTATCCTATCCCTGCCCTCCAGCATATCTACCACTCCTCCCAGTTTAGTATCATCTGCAAATTTGCTGAGAGTGCAATCCACACCATCCTCCAGATCGTTTATGAAGATATTGAACAAAACCGGCCCCAGGACCGACCCTTGGGGCACTCCACTTGATACCGGCTGCCAACTAGACATGGAGCCATTGATCGCTACCCGTTCAGCCCCACAATCTAGCCAACTTTCAACCCAACTTATAGTGCATTCATCCAGCCCATACTTCTTTAACTTGCTGACAAGAATACTGTGGGAGACCATGTCAAAAGCTTTGCTAAAGTCAAGAAACAAGAGTCCTTTTGGCTCTTCAAACATCAACATTTCTATGCTGTTCAGTTCTCCACTTGAGAAGTTGTACTTCACCTCCAGCTTTTGGTTTCCCCGTCCATGTAGAGATGGTAACCAGGGGCCCTAGAGTTTTGCAAATAGGTGAGGGAAAGGGTTGGAAGAGGAGGAGCATCACAGGCAGATGGGAGTTAAGGAGGGATGTCCTGGATGTGGTAGAAGTGGAGAGGGAGAATCCAGACACAAGAGGGTAGTATGTGGAAGTGGATGGGGCCGTTTAATTGTTACCTCACATAGGGCCTACAAAAGCTAATGCTGCCCTTGTCTGCAGAGCAGTTTTCTGGTTCAGGATGGAATTATCAGATGGATGCACTGCTGATGTGTTTGATCATATACAGTGCTGTCAAGGGAAATGTGATGCGTTGGCTAAGGTACAGAAAAGGGAGCCAAAGAGATCTGGGTTCTACTCCCAACTCTGCCACTGGCTTAGTCTGTGACCCCTGTATGTCAGTAACTCCTCCTATGTGTCTAATACTTTCTTTCCTCACAAGGTATTGGGAGATTTAATGCATTTATGTTTGTGAAGCACTTTGAAGTCCTTGGATGGAAGGCAGTAGAGAAGGGCAGAGTATTGTAGCACCACTCGTACACAAATGTTACTTCTGATTTATGTCACTTTATGCAGCCAGCATCTACCATGAGGCAAGAATGCTTAGTATAAGTGTGAGGAGGCTACTCATTTCAAACTGAAAGGGTGTAGTTGGGGATCTAGATATTGAGGCCTCTCTTGGAGTTGAAGTTTAGAGAAAACTATTGTCCTATGAGTTTAAAAAGAGATTGATGAGGAGGTCACTCCTTCCCTGTACTCATCCCTTTTTCAATCCAAAGGCCAACCTTTCTCTAGGAGCTTAAACAGTTCAGACTGTCTCATTTATTATAACCACTTACAAGCATTATTATACCCAGCTTCTGCTAAGTCTACTGTATTTTAGAAAACAGGATTATATGACCCTTTTTCAGTCAGTTGCAGAATAACAGGGGCTGCCATCTTAGACTAAAGTAAGACCCGTTTTATTCCTTTTTTTTTTTTTTTAGTGTCACTCACATTCATTTAAAAAAAATTCTAGGCAAATCCTCTACAAAAAGTCATACATGAAAGCAAGTCCCATTGAACTTGAGGGAACTTCTCACGTGCTTATGTTGTATGGTCAGACCCAGAGTGCTTACTCTATGGAGCTAAAAGAAAAGGAGGACTTGTGGCACCTTAGAGACTAACAAATGTATTTAGTCTCTAAGGTGCCACAAGTCCTCCTTTTCTTTTTGCGGATACAGACTAACACGGCTGCTACTCTGAAACCTGTCTCCATGGAGCTACTCACAGTAGTAAACTCTACACATGGTTGTAAGGGTTTGTAGGATCAGGCCCTTCGTTTTTTGTTCAGAATGCTATTGGGTACTGTTCCTCCTCTGGTGTTCCAGAGAGAGTTTGAAAAGTATTTTTGTTTACATTTATTTTGATGCCATTTTTACTTAGTCTTTTTTTTTTCCCCATGATTTTTGTTTTCCTACAGTGTGGCTGACAAGCCTAAAAAGCAGCAGAAGAGCCAGGAAATGTGCCCCAAACTCTGCATTAGGTGTGGAACAAGTTTAAATGTCTCCTTTTGCCCTCAGTGTGCTGGAGTGCCAGATTTACTCAGTGCTGAGGCTTCTGTTTGAGGCCACAGGGCCACATGAACCTGTCTCAGCCAATTCCTAGTGGCTCAGTAGTTCAAAAACCGTTAGCCACTAAAGAGGGCATTAGAGTGAAACTGGTTTGGGTCACATGACTCATTAAATTGGATTGTATTTGGAGGGTCTTCCCTCATGGGCCTTCTTGGATTCAGACTCTAGTAACAATTCTAGCAGCCAATACTCTCACTGCCAGCAGTGAGATGTTTGTAGCACAATAAAGATTTTCCAACTGAGGCAGCACATCACATTGTCACAGAGGGGAGAAAATGTAACAAAAAGCCCTAAATTTGGGGGGGTTGCAGAAAGTGCCAAAATACCATAAAGAATTTTCCATAACAATCACAACAAACATAGGTCACTAGATACAAAAGCTAACTCTTGTGGCTACCGACTGGCAGTAAAGATGGGGCAAATTAAATGGCATGGGTTTTGCAAATTCTCTGAAATCTATATTTAAAAAAAAATACAACTCCTCAATGGCTGTTTGAGTATATGGCGTGTGATACACCTGCTCCCTACCCGTAGTGATTTATAATCTGATTCCCATTAGCTTGACAGTCTTTCAAACCAGGTATTTGATCCCTTCTGGTTGTACTTAGGGAAATAGAATAAACACAGCGGAATAAAAACATTTCAGTTTTGCTTTTGCCGTCTACGTAACATTAATGTGATATTTGCAGTATCCCCTAAATTTTCATATATATTTAAAGATTGCTGGACATACTAAGGGAATGTTGTTTAGTTACAAAGACAATTGAAAAGATTTTAAGAGTTTTAAAGATAAATAGATGAGGGTTCATTTCAAAAGATCCCCACTCTGTACCAGGGTACAGATATACTCTGGAATGCAGATGAACCAAAACTGGCATTTAGTCAGATTTTTTAGAATTTCGCGTAATCAGGGTTTACCTGTCTATGAATAGGTACAAAATGAAAAATGAATGTATTTTAAAACAATGTAGTTGAAAATCACTTCTTCTTTTACTTACTTGCCAAAATATGAGTATAGGGTTCTGTATTTCCCCAGTAAGAACCAAGAAGAGGGACAACTTTAGGTAATATTGGACTCCACACAAAGTAACGTGCACACACAGGCCATTTCCAGCTTACTCCATGTTGGGTTCTCCTTCCCCAGCTTGGGGTTGCCAACTTTCTAATCACACAAAACTGAACATGCCTGCCCCACCCCTTTACTGCAGCCCTGCTCACTCCATCTCCCCACCCTCACTCACTTTCACCGGTCTGGGTCATGGGTTTGGGGTGCAGGAGGGGTATGAGCTCTGGGCTGGGGAGGCCTGAGGGTGAGGGTTTTGGGGTGCAGGAGAGGGCTCTGGGCTGGGGTCGAGGGGTTCAGGGTGCAGGGGGGTGTGTGCTCTGGCTGGGGTGTGGGCTCTGGGATGCGGCCGGGGATGAGGGGTTTGGGGTAAAGAAGGGGGCTCTGGGCTAGCAGGGGGTTGGGATGCGGGGGGAGGGGCCTCCGGGTGTGGGTTCTGGGGTGCAGCCAGGGATGAGGGGTTTGGGATGCACGAGGGGGCCCCAGGCTGGAGCCAAGGGGTTCGGAATGTCGGAGGGTGTGTGCGCTCTGGATGGGGTGTGGGCTCTGGGGTGGGGCTGGGGATGAAGAGTTTGGGGTACAGGAGGGGGCTCTGGGCTGGGGCAGCGGATTGGAAGGGGGTGAGGGCTCTGGGATGGGGCCAAGGATGAAGGGATTGGGGTGCATGAGGGGACTCCATGCTGGGGCAGGAGGTTGGGATGTCGGAGAGGGTGCAGGATCCCGGCGGCTCTTACCGTGGCTCCGAGGAAGCAGCCGCCAGGTCCCTGCAGCCTCTAGGTGCATGGGCGGCCAAGCAGTTCTGCGTGGTGCACACTGCCTTTGCACCCACAGGCACCGCCCCTGTAGCTCCATTGGTCGTGGTTCCTGGCCAATGGGAGCTGTGGAGCCAGCGCTGGGGGCCAGGGCATCATGTGGAGCCTCCCAGTCCCTGGCCCACCCAGCGCCTATGGGTTGCAGGGATCTGGCGGGTGCTTCTGTGGGCAACGCAGAGGTAGGGCAGGTAAGGAGCCTGCCTTAGCCCCGGGCCCCGCTGCACTGCTGACTGGACTTTTAAGAGCTGACCAGACCCGCCAGTGTCCATTTTCAACCGGGCAAATACCACATGCTTGGCAACTCTACCCATCTCTATATACTCATGACCACACCCTTTTCTGGTTGCCTCTTATTACAACTCCCTCAAGCTTCAGTTGAATCCTTGCCCATCTGCCCCTTCATTTGGATGCCTCAGGAGTCCCCACCACAACTCCCTCTTCCCCCAAATAAATCAGGAAACTAAAGAAGGGAGCCAGTGAGAAATTTTTCAAGTGCTTAGGTCATATAGGCCCAAGACTACCACTGGCCCCCTTATACCTAGAGCAAGTGAAGGAAAATACTCTGTTGGGGGGCAGACACAGGACTCTGAGGCCAAGTCTTAGCAGGTAAAAAGCTTTTCAGATTATCTTTACAATATACAATAGTTAAAATACTATCAGAAATCAGGATTTGACTCAGATGACTGCAGGCTTCTCTTTTGTAGCAAAAGCTATTGCATATCAGGACAATTTTGCTCAAGAAAAGCATCCAGTGAAGGTTGTTAGAAAATAAACTGGCCTGGTTTTGAGTGCTGTGGACTTTTTCTGTAATTACTGCAAAGTTAAATCTTAAGCATATAAATGGAACAATAACTATATGTACATACAAAGTATGTATATTCCAAAATACATACAAATTGCTACCATGCTAGAGCATAGCATTTGAAACACGGCTTAAATACAGAATTATTGAGAGCAAGTACTACATAAAAGTTACAAACATACATGTTTGTTACATTTCGTAAACTGTGCCTACCTGCAATTGCTAAAGCACATGTACAATAGTAGTAAAAACAATCTAAAATGGGAAGTATTTGCATGTGTCTGTGAAGACACTAGCATGAATGTTGCTGAACAGGAGAGGTGTGTACAGTATTCACATTTGTTTCACTGATTGAATTGTCTGTAGTATCTTAACCTTCCCTCATAAAACCTACGTAGCTGTAGTAGTCTTGCTGGAGTTGACTGCTTAGTTACAAGCTTGATTGACTTTTTAAAATCTTATTACTTTTTACTTTTGCACATTATGTCCATTATAAGATCCTGATCCCAAAAGGTGTTGAGCTCCCCTGCTTGCCAGAACTAAACAAAAACTAATTTCCAACTTTAATGGGGGAAGAACTATTATTCTTCCTTTTATTTCTGTTGGGTTTTCAGGCAAGTCTGAAGTAAGAATAATTGACAGTGATTATATATACCAGAGCTCTGCTACTCCTTCAGAGAATTTGGTCCCCTTCCACCTTCTAGCCTTTCTTTTGCATTGTTTTCTTCTGTCTTTTTAGTTTAGTTTTGCCTCTTAGCTGAATGAATACCTTTCAGTTTTGATTTCTTATTAGGTCAGCGTTTGTTTGGGGAGACAATCCTAGGGCTAACGCAAGGCTCAGTCTCAGACCTTCTGGCTCGCCCAAAGCCCTGGCACAAATTGAGTTTGAAGGGACGGGAGCCCTTTGTCCGCATGCAGCTGTGGCTAAATGATCCCAACAATGTGGAGAAATTGATGGATATGAAGCGAATGGAGAAAAAAGGTAATTTGCAGCAGATTGCTGATGCATATTTTTTATTATTTCAAATGGGACTTTTTTTTTTTAAATTATCCATGAGTATTATATAGGTCATATTGATCCAGCATTATTGAAGGGTATGGAAAGGGCTTCACAGCATCTTTCTGTTTGCCAGACTTGATGCTAGCTTTGCTTTTTTTATATATCTCCAGGGAAAAAGAACCCACCCTGAATTCCCAGTGTCAGGAAGCCATTGCTAGATTCACTGTAGAATTAATTACTACTACCCTAATGCATCAGTGATAACTTGCCTTACCAAATGAGAAATGTGAGAATGGGAACTGGCTCAGGATTTTCATTACTAGGACCACACCCAGCCACAGACGTTGGGATGGAGGGAGTAAGCAGTGATTCCTGAGGGAACTTCTTGCTGGTCTAACACTGGAGATCACTAGGAGGAAAGATAAATGTAGTGATTTAAAATGATTCTGTGAGATGCATTTGTATCATTTAATTTAGTATGGTTTGTGTTTCTGGTTTTGTTCAAATGAACTCCCCTCATCTGCTTAGATCAAAAACATTTATCTATTAGGCCTCTAAATAGTTACCTACAATTTTATTGTGGAACATGTCCTGTGAATTTCAGATCCTTCTCTTTATTTTGAATCCATTGCTGAGAAATAGCAATTACAGAAATAGCCATTTTTTAGTATAAAAACGACGAGGAGTCCGGTGGCACCTTAAAGACTAACAGATTTATTTGAGCATAAAAAACCCACAAAAGCTTATGCCCAAATAAATCTGTTAGTCTTTAAGGTGCCACCAGACTCCTTGTCATTTTTGTGGATACAGCCTAACACAGCTACCCCTCTGATACTTAACACCTTTTAGTATGATCACATAATTCTACAACACAGAAGCTCCAGATGCTGACTCCTAGCAGCAGTTAGCTGAGTGCAGAATTGTGTACATTCCGGCTAGTTATCCTGGATGATGATAGTGCACCTCTGCATTAAAGTGCTACTGTTGACTGATTTCACAGTAACACTAACATGTCATGAAGAATTTTTGTGGTTATACTGAAAATTGCAGTTAAGGGGGCTTACAGGAGAGCTCGTAGTCTCCTGTTGAAAGTGAATAAGAGAAACAAATCTTTGCTACAGTAACTTCTGGTAGTACCACAATGCAATATCTCCTCAGAAATTGCATGAGGTCTTCCACTGGGAGCAGAATCCTCTCAGATTTCCCACTTAGCACTGTAAACTAAAGGGAGCTGAGATGGCTTCTGCTGCATTAGAAACAGAGCAAAAATAAATGGGCCAAATAACTAGATTTTTAACATTCTTAAGAGATCATCCTATACAATGTTGAATAAAACAAAATAAAAAATAATGAAAAAGTAACACTGACAGCCTCCTTCGGAAACGAGTTTCTGCACCGTATTTTTATTGAAGTCCCATGCAATACATATGCTGTGGGAAGGAACCTGTGCCTGAGTAAAGATACGGTGTAAATTGTTTGAGGGCCTCAGCGGAGCTCCTGAACTGTGTAAGTGCTGTCCTGGTAGCAGAGCACTGGGAGTGAGCTCACTCTTGCAGCTCACTCTGGGAGTGAGTTCTCTCTTGCAGCTAAGTGTCCTGTTGTTCAACCATTTAGATTACCCTGGAACCACATCAACAATGTACCTTTCCATTCAGGTAATGTCAGTGAAATAACATTGCAGTGGTTTCTCTTGCCAGTGAAACATTACTACCAATTACTCCTCTGCCACATTTTATCAGAGGAATAAATTGACAGTTATGCTCATCTCACCTTTACCATCTTCTCACCCCCCCCCCCCCATGAGCTTGAAACGTATGCTATGAAAACCCTATATAAACAGTTCAGCAGATTTCTACCGTATGTTAAATTAACTTTTAGGAGGAGTCTTCAGACCCACCAAGATCAGACTCCTTCCCCCCACTTACCTTACTCTGAATAATTAGCTTCTACGGCATATGGCACCCCACTGTGGATGCTGCTGGAAACATTGCACTCCCCAGTGAATAGTGCTGAAGCCTCCTGACGGGAGAAATGTTAATTCTCTATATTTCCTCCTCATTTCGTTTGTAATAAGCTTGTTCAGTACCAGGTAGGATAAGAATTCTATTTAAAAAGGGCTCTGTTTTACCCTAGTCGGCAGGCCTCTAGTGCTGTTGGGTGGTGGGTGTGCCACTTCCAGCCTACTGCATGCTGGGAAGACTTGCCAAGGGAACATGGCAATGCTGGGTCTACAACAACAACAATGAAAAAGGGGGTAAAATCCTCAAACAGAACTGGGCCCAACACCAAGGATCCAAGTCCAAACCTTCCCAAGGACTGGATTTAGGAAGTGAGTTTGGTCATTATGAAGTAGTGGCTAATGGAAAAGTTCAAAACTGTATCCAAAACCAAATTCCTCCAAAACTCAGGGATGTTTGTAACTTGCCTTTTGATTTGAGTCTCTCTTTATTTGAAAATGTGCTGAAATCTCCCCTGATGTTGTGTATATTCAAAGATTGTTTAAAATAATATTTTCAAATCATCTTTAAAGCATCTAGAGTGCTTCACACAGAGCACATAGCTAGTAATCTGGTTCAGCACACTGACAGATGGCATAATATGTGACCTTGAACCAGTGGAGCGATGGTCAAATAACCTGATCTGGATGAAAAAATATCAACTGGTGGATGTTGTGGTTTTTTTGCAGTCGGGTTCCCTGTAAGTCATCATTGTTTCTTTATTCCAGTCTCATGAAAGATACAGACTTTAGCAGTTCTTGCTTAATAGTGACAGCACTGAGAGTTTGGGCAGGTCTGCACTTGGATGGAACACCTCCCAGGAAAGTCTAGTTCTCCAGGAAGTGGTGCTCATCCTCTTGAGTTTGGCCTGAGCTCTTGTCCCAGAATGAAGATTGAAAACTCTGTGTTGCTGGAGGTGCCATCTTTTGGCTGTGAGATAAGAGATTCTGACCACTCATTAAAGATCTTTTTGAATAAGAGGAGGATGTTAAGCCCAGTGACCTGACCAAATTCTGGCAGCTTCAGTTGGATATAGCACAAATTTTTTACATTTTTAATTAGATGTGCTGTTCTCCTTCATGTTGTCTCCTAAATTACTGGGCAGTGTTGCAGTGCTCTAATGAGCACATACCATTCTTCGCCCTTGTTTTGGCTGTTACAGTGGTGAATGAAGGGAGCCCTGTGTCTAGTTTGTGTATCAGTAGAAGTTTGTAAAACACTTTAATCTCAAAAGACTCCAAAGACCTTTTATAAATTTAAGATATCATTTTCGTCATATTAATTGCCAGCATTACAAGTTGTAGCATTTAGCTGCACCTCAGGGGCTGCAGAGGTAGGGCCCCATATGTTGTTTACCACTAACTGCTTCCCATTTTCCCCACTGGTTGAAACATCCTATATAGCTTTGGTTGATTGGAATAACCTTTAAAAATAACTTTCTTATATAAACAATGTGGGTGAGGGAGACCATATCTTTTATTGGATCAACTTCTGTTGGTGAGGGAGACAAGCTTTTGAGCCACTCTCAGGTCCCGAAGAAGAGCTTTGTGTGGCTCGAAAGCTTGTCTCTCTCACCAACAGAAGTTGGTCCGGTAAAAGATATTACCTCACCCATCTTGTCTCTCCAATATCCTAGGACTGACATGGCTACAAATACAACTAACTTTCTTAAATGGGTGCAGGACTATATATGACACGGCAGAGTGATGGATAATGAGGTTCTTACATTCTGTTCCATACCAGTGATCCAACAGGCAAGACGACATATTCAGGAAAAATAAAATGCAGGCAGTTCAGGTACCCAGGAAGGTTAAACACTATGTTCAGAATTCACTTGGATACTCCTGTGACAGTGTGTAACAGTCCCACTAGATCCACCACCAGCGTAGATGGTGAAATGACAAAGCAGAGCTGGAGACTAAAGGCCCAGGCAGTCCTGCAGAGGAACAGAAGGGTACTCTATTAAACCAGCTCCCTGGTACTATAAGGAGGGTGAGCTCTATACCCAGAAAACTTGAGTTGTAGCTCAAGGTGGCCTGTTTCTGTTCATGTAAAAGTCTTTTGTATTTTTTTTTTATCATCATCTATGCATCCTATTCCTGAAGATAAAACCTATGGTAAAAAAATTCATTTCATGAAAGACTTTGTTGGTGGCTCAGGTGACCTACTTCCCTAGCTTCCAAATCTCTATGGCATGAGTCTGTGCTCCAAACGATTTTTATATATAAATATAATTTAAAAGATATTTATCAGGCCACTGCAACATTGTATTGATCAAGTTAATCTGGAAGTGCTTTGTTCTCACTGCAAGGGAATGGCCTCCTCGACAATGCTCTTGCATGACTCTGATCCCATCTCCCTCCACCCAGTGCAAGTCAATCAAGGCAATGACATCATTAGCCAAATCTCTTTTCTCAATGAACTTAACAGGATGGTCCATCACCACCTCACCCCAGGAGGATGAAGGAGCCTAATGGAGTTGCTCAGATTCCCATCACTGACCTAAATGAGCTAACTGCTCACAGCAGTAGTACCCATCAAATTGTATTGTAAAGAATCTTGCTTAAAGGAAGGGGCTGTCGGTTGTTTTTCTTTTTTATAACTTGTTTCCAGTGTATGCATCTAAGACTAGATCTGTAGGAATAAGCAACAAACCTCTGAACTGTTCCTTAGGGCTGAGGCAAAATTGTCAGGATTCCACAGGTTCCAAGTGCCATCTGGTGTTGGAACATGGTTGTGATTTCAGCTTTTATCAGCTACTGTAGTTTAAGTATAATCCAGTAGGAAGCTTTAAATACCAAGAAGCACAGAATATTTCAGTTGCAATGCAGCGTAAGTGTCCTAACTGAATGTATATGTTAAAATGTCATACTCATAAAATACTCAGACTTTTGTTGAGTAACATTAGAACTATGCGCCACACTTAACTTCTTATGTCCATTATTTGTCTCACATATTCACCAATGGGGTGGGAAACTTAGAAAGGTTTATGGTTAGTTTGTGCTCTCTTCCCTGCCACCTCTACCTTCTCTTGCAGTCTCTTTCGGATCCACGCCAGAATTCATTTCCTGTTCCTTCCTTCCCAGCATGCACACCCCCCGAGCTCACAATTTGGGATCTTTGCATTTACTCTGCAGTTCTTATATTTGGTGACTTTATATTTACATGATTCTGTATTTCTCTTTCAGCCTACATGAAACGACGGCACAGCTCAGTTAGTGACAGTCAACCTTGTGAGCCCTCTTCAGTTGGAATAGACTATAGCCAGGGAGCCAGCCCACAGCCACAGCATCAGCTAAAGAAACCACGAGTAGTGCTGGCACCAGAAGAGAAAGAAGCTCTAAAACGAGCATATCAGCAAAAGCCATACCCATCGCCAAAAACAATTGAGGAACTTGCTACACAGCTCAACTTGAAAACCAGCACAGTGATCAACTGGTTCCACAATTACAGGTACAGTACATGTCCCACACAGCATCTCCAGTGAGTACAGTATATACTCTAGCCATAAAAGGCTGTTTATTTCTGTCTGCCTTAACTAGTGCTGGGCAGTGATACAGAAGGGATTGTCTCATTAGCAAGGAGTTTATAGTAGTAATGATAGTGCAAACAGTATATGCCAGTTTTAAAATAATTCCTGGGGAATAAAAATACCCACATATTGACTTAATAAATAGTTCTTGTCTGTGTGAAATCCTGCATTTTGATTTGATACGTCAGAGTTGGACTTTAAACTAAAAGGGTCCACAGTCGTGGGATATTTATAATAGTGTGTGTACTACTGCCCTATATTGGATGGAATCGGACCTATGACAAGAGAACAGTTCTTACAGTGCTGAAAATTAAAGGAAATTTTCCTTTAGCTCAAGATATAGAGACCTGTGATTTGGGACCAGGAGAATGTGTTCCGTCTCCAGGAAGTTCCAAATGGCCATGGTGTGCGGCTTAGTGACAATCATGATATCTGAGGTGACTGCAAATTTATTACACTATTATGATAAATCCTTGATGCCAAGAGTCACCCTGAAATAAAATGAGATTGGAGTCTCAGTTTAATCCCTTTTTTCCATTAAAAGGAACCACAAGTTGGGTGCGTTGAGTAGTTTCTGATTACTAAAGACTCAGTGCTTGACCAGCATATGAGAAGTAGAAGGAATTGGATAAACACACTCAGTTTCTGTCTGAAGGGAATTGATCAGGAATCCTCATAATTTTAACACAGTTTTGTCCCAGAAATTGGCACTGATCAATATAACAGTTATAATTTGAGGGGTAGAAGAAAACATACAAGCCTCAGTCCCTTGCTTTCTGAACCAAGAGTCCCTGATTATCAGAAGATATTTTAAGAAACCTGAACAAACAATTCACATTTTAAAAGATTTCTCCCTCTAAGCTCCTCTCTGCCACTTCCGAGGCCACTATGGACACAGAAAAAGACTCCTTGTTAATGACAGAGCTAAGAAATAGAACACACAGTAGTAGTTGAGGGAAAATAACAAATATAGTCACCAGTAGGTGGTAACATTTCTACTCTGTCATATTGACTTGTACTTCAATTTGATTTGTGTGCGCTGCAAATACTGCATCTTAGTTTAAAGTTCTGCATATACAGACAACTATTCCCTTTCTCACTTATAGCAATTATACACAAGTTGGAGTGTAATGCCTGTGTAAATATGTTCCCTTCAGCCTGACAGCAAAATGTGCTGTTCTCACTTATACAGATGAATGAGAGTAATCTGGTGACATGTGTTATTTTCCTCATTATCATGAGGTCTTCTGTTAGGCACATTGTGAGAAAGCACGACAAGTCATGATCGATCAGCACATTTAGCCACACCAAGCTATACATTAATTCAGAATACTCCTGCTGTTATAGACAAAGTAAAATATGTACAACCGAGGCAGCAACATACTCTAATGGTTGGAATACAGGGCATGGAATCGGGAATTCAGGTTCTAGTCCCAGCACTACTGATTTGTTGTGTGATCGTGAGCAAGTCATTTATGGCCTGATCGAAGTCAGTGGGATTTTTTGAGTGCTCAGCACCTCTGAAAATCAAGCTATGGACTACTATTTTGTGACTCAGTTTCACCATCTGAAAAATAAGAATATTAACAATTAATAATGTGAACTTTAAATAATGTCTGTGAAGTGATTCTAGAGCCTCAGCATAAAGGTGCTCTATAAATGTGAGGTATCATTATTATTTTTATTATTTATTAATATATATAAGGTGGTACAAGAAATGAATTCATGGAACTGAAGAGGGTTCCCTTTCTAACTATAAGGAATCTTGAGAGATAAGAATGTGTTGTTTGTCGTACTTTAAAGGCGTCAAGAGCCCATTTTCAATTTTAGCTTGCATTGTGGGTTTTATATCTCCCATACAACTTATTTTGGTACAACTGCTGTCTGTCCCATTACAAGCCGTAGTGTACTGTTCCTCTTGAATTTGATACCTTTTTCTTAATGTCCATAATGTCATGGATTCGGGGCCTCAGGAATCTTGTTACTGCAGTGCTTATACTTTGGGTATATGGCTAATGCCATACGTTTCACAAACTGTTGCTGCATTAGAATATGCCCTCACATCCATCTTTGTGTAAAGAATGTGTGTTGGCACGTATGTGTCACAGCAAGAGGCACTGTGGAAATACCTGAGAGAGAGAGAATTTCGCTTTGAAATATAAATATTCAGAAAAGATTTCATTGTATCCACAAGCACATCTAAACCTTTTTGTTTGTTTCCAGAGCTCAAGACTCAGCACATATATAAGAATAATATACATCTGAGTGTATTTTTTTGCATTACAGAAGCTTCCAGAGGCCCCTTTTCATATTGGAACCCCATTGTGTTAGAAGCGGTAACAAATACATGTTAAGAGACGGTCCCTGCCTCAAACGACTTACATTCTAAATAGTAGGACAGTCAAAGGGTGGAAGAAAGGAAGTAGTATTAACCCCATTTTACAAATGGGAAATTGAGGCACAGGGATTAAGTGTTTAATTCTTGTTCAAGGTCATCTAGAGAGCCTTTGGTAGAGGTAACAATTAAACCCTGTTCTCTTAAATTCCAGTCCAGTGCTATTAAATTATTAAACTCCATTCAACTTAATTTATAAAAGTTGTGGGAAACGTCACTATATTAAATGTCTATGTATGATCCTGGAAATTGTGCAAAGACATGTACAATGAACTCAAGCACAATCCCCAGGATAGCCTCATATTTTGAATAACACTGAAGAATGTCTTCAGGGTGTGGCTGATTTAGTGGTATTCAACTTCCACTGATAGGTACTTTCTGTCCAGAATTTCCTAGCTGCTGGCACCAGTTCCTGTTTATTGTACAGACTTTGTCTCCTAGTTAATTTAGTGCTTTATTGACTTCCAGACCTAGTGTGTTGGGGATCAATTCCAGGGATTTACACATCCATCAAACAAGCCCATACTAAACAGAGCTGTGGCCAAATGTTCAATGAGCATGCTGTGATTCACTTTCTTAAGTGGAACTGTGGTATTTTAAATGACATTTCTTAGGTGGGCAGACACGAAGTTATCCGTTTCCTTCTCCTGACTCAGTGAGCACCGCAGGAGCAGTGTGCTTTGGATCACTGCCTATAAAGGGAGATTTATAAGAAGTAAATAAAGCCTAGTAATAAACATAAAATGCATAGATGTAATGTTAATAGCAAATTAATATTAGTACCTGTGGTCCCCGGTCCTGAAAAAAGCCATGTCAGCAATTACTGCCGAAGTACTGTACTGTCTCTGAAGCAAGTCAATAAAGTCATTAGCTTCAAACACAAAGCAGACATTCCAGCGGTGTTCTGTTGCTAGTCTGTGTTCTTCCCAGTGTACATTAGTTCCTGCGAGAAATTTAAGTTTCTATTGAAAACTTGCCACAAACATGAAGAGGGTTTTTCATCTGTGACTTGAAAGACAAGGCAGCGCTTCATTAAAACCAGTGGTATTTTTCTTTTTGACAAAGTTTTCTCTAAATTGTTACTGTGTCTACACTATTCCTGCGCTAAGGTTCTTTCTTCTTGTTATATAGGAACATGGGGCGTATCTTGCAGTATAATGTACAGAGGTCATAAACAATTATATTAATCACAGTCGAATTACGATTATGTAATTGATTTCGTTATCAAGGCTAAGTAAAATCCCAGGCCACCCATGATTTCATTTCCCTGTGTGATCCAGGACATTGGGAAACTCCTTATGAGAGGCTCAAATAAAATGACATGTACGTTGCTGGGTGATTTTTACACACTTCATGTTGTAGGAAGCACAAAGTTGAACATTAGGTAACTTTTACCCATATGTGGAGTGCATTAATTCCCTAGAAGTGCACTGCCTGTCATGTGACTATTAATGTTCTGAAATTAAATTTATAAATAAAAAATAAGGCAGAAGTCACATTGGGCTCATAGACTGAAAACCAGTCAGAAAGCTGCACTGCCCTAAAGTCAATTCAGAAGTATATTCTTACTTTTGATCAGGGTTTCCTGTTTGTAATAATTATTTTTTCTGGTTTTTGTTTAATTTTAGGCAAAGTCATGGCTAATTTTTAGGAGTAGAAATCAAAATGTTATTGGTGTTTATAAATTGTTTCCCCTCTAATTATATATTAAAAAAATCCCTTCTGAATTCTTGGGCCCTCATCAGAGAGGAATCTTTTTAGGTTCTTCAGGAACCCTTTGAAGCTTCATGCTCTCAGAAGTGAGATTCCAGTGAGAATGGGAGATCTTTTTGAGCTTGTCTCTTGATCCCCTTTATAAACCACGTATGACCCTGTAAAATTGGAAATGTCAGCATGTGCGTAACTTGGACTGAAGTTCTCCTAAAGCAACTGTTAGGGGGCTTATTCCTTCACCCACTTACTTCCCTGGTCCTTCTCGCATGAACAGAGAGCAACAATACCCGAATTCCAAAGGTGCAAACAATTCGATGTTTATTGGGGTGAACTTCCAGCAAGCATGATTCCAGTTTCCTTCCTTAGTATCCTCCTTCCCAGCTCTGACACCACAGAGCCTTACACCTGTGTCCCTGTTCCCATTCCTACCCTTAGCCAAACATGATTCCAACTTCCTTATTCCCATTCCCTGTTCCCATTTCCCCTTTAGCAAAACATGATTCCAATTTTCTTACCCCCATTCCCTGCTCCCATTTCCCTCACCCACACCCACCTACTTCCTCCTTGACTACAGATTATATAGTAAAACTTGAGTTCTGCTTAGCTATACCTTAACCAATCATTTTCCTGAAATTTAACTAACCAATCCTAACATATTGTAACATGATTATGTAACCAATTATATCCCACCACCTTAATTGGTTTACACCCAGCAAAATTAATTATATAGCAGACAGGAACAATCACAGAACCAGACAGAGATTATACAGACAAACAATAGCAAAGTGGGAACTATAATGACAAGACAATATAGAAGTGAGGATTTCACATCCCAGCTATTGATAAGTGAGTTCTTGCCAGACAGGATGCTATCAAACTAAGTTTCCTTTTACATTTTCTAGGCACTTCCCTTTCTCTGGAGGTGATAAGAATACAATTCTGTCCTGATAGTGCCTAACAGCCCAATAGCACCTTATTTCAATGTGACTAGGTTGGAATGTGAGGATGTGACTGTTCACTTCCCAGCTTATGGCTGCCTCTGCTGCTTAGCCAAAGGCCTTAGCCTAAGAACAGGGCCCAGACTGTCACAGTAAGAGAAGGCCCTTACACCAGCAGACAGTGATTTTGATTCTTTCTTTTATACCTCTAGAACTAGCCAAGTGATAAGAATACACCTAAATTCTTAAAGTACAGGCCTTTGCAGACTGGCCTGAATATCTATATCCTAACAGCAACAAGTATTGTTTTAACTAAACTAGAAAGTCTATTTATGATTTAACACACTGTCATTCTAGAACAATTCTGTTACCTGTACGAAAGTTAAATTTACACTCTTTGCATAGAGTGTGAGGTAATTATTGAACTGAACAGTCGGAAGGAATCAGATTTACAACAATTATATATGCAGTGGTGGTGTAGCCGTGTTGGTTCCAGGATATTAGAGAGACAAAGTGAGTGAGGTAATATCTTTTATTGGATCAACTTCTCTTTAAATCTCTTAAATTTTGGCATGTTGTGAGTATTACCCAAAGTAAAAATGGGGTGCAAATCAAAACCCAGATCCAGACATCCCCTTTCTCTTCCTGTTGCACTTTGGGAGAGTTTCTATATGGATATGGACTTTGTAAGTTGGACCATATTACTGTGGTCTATGATTATGAATGGCTAGCACCAAATTTATCGTTCTGTTATCGTGTCTTCTAGATCTCGCATCCGTCGAGAGCTGTTCATTGAAGAAATCCAAGCAGGAAGTCAGAGCCAGGCTGGATCAAGTGACTCTCCTTCAGCCAGAAGCAGCAGGGCGGTTCACAGCTCTGAGGGAGACAGTTGTGATGGTGTGGACACAGAAGGCCCACCTGAAGGAAAGCAAAGTGGTCTGGAGGCGGACGAGTACAGCAATGCAACCACAAAGTCTCAGGGAGGGCAAGCAGAGTTGGCTTTTGAAGCGGGGGAAGAGGTACCACAAGATGCCAGAACATCAGAGAAAACAGAGTCTTTCCATTTGGGAATGGAGAGCCTGGAGGATACTGATGATGAGGGTAGGCTCAAAGCACCACGTCAGAGTTCTCCGCCAGGGTCTCAAAGTTCAGGAGAAACTCTGGAGACAATGCCAAACTCTGCTACAGAAGAGGATGCCTCTACCTCAGCTGCCTCCACCTCAGTCCTTACAGGGGAGAGCTCCTTCAAGTCAAAAGAAAGTTCCGAGAAAATGTTGAGTGTGCCAAGTACAAGTTCCACATTGGCTGCAGGCTCACAGAAAGCCAACTCTATTCAGAGTTTATTCAGCTTTTCCGAGGCAGCAAGGTCCAAGAACACGCGGGACAACACCTTGAGGAAAAAGAAAGCAGCAAACTTGAACAACATAATACACCGTTTAGAGAAGGCCGCTAGTCGAGAAGAGCCCGTCGAATGGGAGTTTTGAGATTAAACTCACCCAACTCTAGAGAGCTGGGAAAGTTAAACTGGACCTCTACTGGTTTTATTGTGTTGCGCACTTACCGCCCTGCAGGCCACAGGGCAAAAACGCCATAGGCCAAGGTGCATATAGAAAACAAAAGGAGCGTTAAGCCCAATTTATGTTTGTGTTTTCAAGGAAGAAAACTGAAATGTGTGGTCAAGCTTTTTTGTACCCTGAAGTGTTTTTATTAATGCCCTAAGTGATTTCCACAATTTCTGGAATAACTCATACAGCTTTGCCTTGTGCCCTCCTCTTTGGTGTGGGCTTTAAAAAAACAAAAACATAAAAAAAAAAATCAAACCCACATATTTAAAGGGGGCTTTTTATCTGCCATCTAATGGCTACAGAGCGATAATACACTATTATCTTCTTAAACCAGGAAAAAAAGGGGAGATTTTTCAAAAAGGAAAAATAAAAAGTTTTTTGTAGCTGTTCAGTTGCCACTAAGAGATTGCACAGTCAACCGACTCTAAACACACTAGTTTGGATTCCTAAATATTTTCAAGAAAAGAAAAGAATCGTGTTGTTTGAAACTTTGAATTAAAAAAAAAAACACATTTACTCCACATATTTTTTAACAAAACAAAAAAAGTCACATCAGGAAAATATCTTAATTTGTGGTAGCTGACTTAGTGTTTTCTTGTAAGTGAAATAGAATATTGACACGTAGTGCACATTGTTTCATAGCTTTAACTGATTCTGGTCTTTTGCAGACCAGAATTTGTTTAATACACTCCATTTTAGGCCAAATCAGGACAAAAAAAAATCTGAATCTAGGTATTTTATAATCTGCTTTTTAACCTCTAACCACAGAGCACGCTGATCAGACCTCATATCCAGGAGGTTTAGGAGACAACTTAGAATAGCATGTACTTGATCATTTCATTTGAATTGTGGTATATCTAGTACCTTTTTGTTAAAGAAAGAGAAATGAAAAAAGTTGGCCAGTAACATTTCAGCCTGCAGCTCTGGGGACATATTTTACAACCTGTAGCATTCAACTAACCTGAAATCAGTTAAAGTTTCATTTACATGTGTAACAGATGTCACACACCACGAAGAAGGAATTGGGCCTGCCTCAGATGAAGAGATGTCTTCCTCCAGTAGGTAGCCATTTACTGACTCTCTTCCCACCACAAGCACTGATTTAAATGTTTTAGTTTGTGGGAAGTTTGTTTGTGTAGAAAAAGAATACGTTGCAGGTATCAGATGGGCTGTGACCAAGATGTAAATAGCCCAAACTCCAAACCAAAATATTCATGCTCTTGAATCCCAGTCCAGACTATTCCGCCCTTCAGATTATTTTATGCACAGCGTAAAACTTTTGATCAAAGTACAAATCAAATTCTCACTTGTCTCTGACTCCTCCTGTTGTCTATATGTATATGCGTGAGCATAGAGGTGTGTGGAAGGATGTGTGTGCGTGAGTGTGTGCGTGCAATTTTATACGTCTGTGTATTTTCTTATGTACTTGTGCACACATAGAGTGCATTACTGCCACCTTTTTTCAATAAGCTGTTTTATCAGTTATGGCTTCTACAAGTTTGCTAATTTAGACTCCTTTATTGCCATATCTTTAAAACTAACAATAGATGATTTCGGTATATATATATATATTTTTTTTTTGCTTATTTATAGGTGCTGTATTTTATTATCTGATTGTTAGGAAGGGATGAAAGGGGGCAAATATTCTTTAGAGGGATAGACTGCCGGCAGTATTGGGTATAATTTACAAGATGTAGTTGTCATACTGTATATTATTGATTGAAGACTTTTTGACCGTATTGTGTATCATTGAAACCTTTGTCTTAGGTCAGCATCTTTTGATGACACTTTAATGGTGCATTCATTACTTTTTAAGTTTAATTAATATTACTTTTTTGATTTTGGGGGGTGGGGAGAGGAGTTCCAATTTTAAAGGTATGCTCCCAATATTACACCTCAGTGTGCTTGTATTAATTAACTAGTAGGACTTTGACTGTACGATGTGAACCCACATTTCTTGCATGATGTTTTAGAAATTATGTATTTCATTTACAGTCTCAATGTGTAACAGCAGCACTTAGTTCAAGTTTTCACAAATTAAGAGTCACTACACTTCAAAAAAAAAAATAGCCTTTTCATGAACACGAAAAGAAGGCTCTAGGAGGCTGAAAGGCAGAGATTTATTTAACTGTTTTTACTGTTACAGTCATTTCAAATTACCTGCTTGGGTAACCAGAGATTTAGCTTGTGGTGCACAACTCAAATTTGATAAACAGAGACAGCAACTGGCCCTTTCTGTGGTGAGCGAAGACAAAATTTGGAACATGTGATCGCACCATCTAGAATCACTGTGACTTCTTTATAGGGACATAAAGTTTGGCTGAGAAAACTTCCAGCAAACGACATGGTAAATCAAAACATTACCATTAGAAATCTTCTGTTCACCACAGTGTCTCCTTACAAGCAAATGTTTTGATTTGATTTATAAAATACAACTCTGTTTATGAATGTGTGTTCCATTCAAATATATGTACCTGAACATGAGTAATAACAAAATATAAACATCTTCAGTTCAGCCAAGAGACAGAACTTCTAATTTTCTTATATTTTCTTGATATTTTCTTACATTCTAACTTAATCAGTTTCCTTTGTTTACTTTAGAACAATATATTTGCCATGCGTTGCCACCCTCTGTTTCTATCAGGTTGAGATCTGGGTGCTTGATGCAGTCAAGTGGTTAAATTTTGCTTGCTTGTAGGGTGTTTTTTTTTTCTTCTATTTATTATTTTGCTTAATTAAGGTCCCCAGACCTGTTGTGGAATAAGTGTGTGTCTTTATTGCATTCAATAATGCTTACTGAGAGCTGTCACTGAAAGCAAAATTTTATTTACAGCATGAACCCAAATGCAGCATTAAGGGTTAATCTCTCTTCTTGATAAGCAATACTTAAGTGCCTTCAAAAGTATCCTTTTTGTTCTTTCGTTTTGTAGTTTTCAGGTTTCTGCTAATTACATTAGAGGAGCCAAATACTGAAAAGTGTCTGCTTATTTTTGTTAATGCTATGTCAGTTTTCAAAAAGCGTATTTGTAGCTGTCTTGTAGAGGATGTGTTTCCTTTATAACACTAACAGTTAATTGTAAACTCCATTATACCACTTACAATGCATAGAATTTTGTTGAATGAAGACAGCATTCATAAGTCACCCCATTCTGCCAAGGGTTGTCATCAGTATTTATTATAAAATTAGTCAGATAAAATGCTCTTGGTATTCCCTATATTTTGGCACTTTATTAATGCTTTAGTTCCTTTTGTCATTTCATGCATAATGTCATAGGTAAAAAGTATGTATAACTATTAGAATGCCATTGGGATGACTCCAGACTTCCAATTAGGAATCACGTTACAGTTCTTTGTCAGATACCTTACCTTACTCTCCTGTTTGGAGATTTTTTTCCTTACTAGTTTTCCAAATTGGCAAGACCTCCCTGGTTGAAAAAGGGTTAAATTGCATCTGTGGTGAATGATTTTTAGCTATATTTCTTCATGCTAATGAAGTATGTTTGAAATTAATGTTGTTAGGAAAATTAGTATTACACTCCTAGTCTTCATTACTTGATAAAAAGCTACTGGAGAAGTAATGTAAAAAGAGTTGGACTCTTCAATGCTTTTCAGTCATTGATTAGTTGAGAGTAACAAAGGTGAAAGGTTGTATAAGGTGCTGCATGTTCAACATGTGGGGCTGTTCTCTATGCATAGTTGTTTTATAGAGTTAAAAAGACTGAAAAGCGAGCACTTGCTGAAGGCATGCTGTTTAGTACTTTTCCAGATAGATGAACATGCATATATGTCTCTAGCATTACAGGTTTTCTGCAGACTGTTTCCATTTTTGTGTTCTTTAAAAGCATTTTTTAAAAACCTTTGTTTCTGTTTACAGTTCAGACTTTCTCTAAAGCAATGGAGGGATAGGCCTCAGGCTGTTTTAACCAATATTTTTATACTGCAGGTAAAATTCTGTCATTTTTATCTCTGGATGGGTAGTGCAAAAAGGAGAGGACAATACTGAGATTTAACTAAGTGTGATGGTCTCTTTTATTATTGTGTTAATGGAGAGCGGATGAAGCATGCCTGTTGATTATAATTGTTCCATTTTTATAAATACGATTTCCTTTATCCATGGAATCACAAGATTTTCTTACTGATAACAAAACCCTTTTTCTTTTGTTAGAATAGCTATTGAATGCCATGGAACTCAATCATTTTAGTTTAGCTTGCACTCCTGCAAAATTTATAAATAGACTTTGTGGGTAGAGTCACTCCTTAAGGAGCCTTGCATTGGTGTGTTCTATCCATATCATCTGTCAAATGAGCTGTTTAATAATAAGCTCTTTACTAGAATAAGATATCTCTGAAAGTAAAAATCGCATGCCTTTCTCATTAGCTAAGAGGTTTTTGCATTAATTTTTAACGTAACCTTCATGTGGGGACGCTACAGAGAAGGGGTTAATGAACACTACAGAATTCTATGCAATATTCTCTAGTCCTCATTATTTTAAAATATTACCATTTTGCTATCTTTTAAAAGTGAAAACAGCGATCTAGAGGAAAAGTGCGTCATCCCAGTGTTAGCTCAAGTGAAATTATAATGCTGATTAATTTAAATAAATTAGAGTGAGGGGAAAATCTGACAGAATAATGTGATAAATATGATAAAAAAAAAAATAGCAGTCCCCACTAGCAATGCTGCAGTCCAGGGTCTGTCAGAGTTTCCATCTTAAAATCCCTAATTTCAAGGGTTTTAGAACTCTGCTATAAAATGAAAAAAATTGCTCTTGGCAAGAACTTGGTAGTTTAGAAATGGAAAAACATTTTGACCATATTTAAATTATAAAAATACCAAAAAAGTAATTGGTTTCAGATGCATTTTTGCACTTAAATCCAAAACAGCTTCCTCATTTAAACTGAAATGTCATTAGTAATACGGACTAATGCCTTTAGCGGGGTTGCTAAGAAATCAACAGTGTTATGTAGCAAAGTGATTCGTTGCAAATACAATAAATAAATACATTCATAAAGATTTTTGACATGCAGATGGAGGGTCCATTTGTTCCTTCTCTTTTCTATCTTTGCTTTTCTTTTAAGCAAGTGAGTTCTTTAAATCATCTCTCTTGCTTATATTACAGCCCAGGTATATCTCTATGTATACTGGATCTTAAAATCACTCCATATACGGTACTTGAGTTCCATAGGTTCTAATTCTGAGGATTTCATGGAGATCGTAAGAGAGAGAGAGAGAGAGAGAGAGAGAGGAACAAGAGGTGTCACTTGGTCTAAGGCCTAATCTTATGTCCATTGAAGTCAATGGAAAGTCTTTCCTTTGACTTCATTATTTGTTCAGCCCCTAACAAGACAGGCTGCTTATATCTGATCTCCCACAGTTAACTTATACAGACATAACAAGTGTAAAACACAGCATTCAGTTTAATTTACTATTATGCTAGGCTTTCCAGTTTCCATGGCACTTTCTGTGGTCCCTCTAGCCAAGCACTAACATGTTTTCCTCCATGTCATACATATAATCAAACAGTTTTAAATTAAAGAGCCTGTAAAAAATTCTGTATAAATACAAGATTTTCAAAAAGTACCAAACAACTTAAAATATAACTCCAAATTACTTTAAATAATGAAAATAAACATGAGCCTGTGAGAGCAGGGTTCCATTCTTGGCTCCGTCATTGGGGTGACCATGGCCAAGTCACTGCCTCTCTGTGCCTCAGTTTCCCCATCAGTAAAATGGGGATCGTGATACTGACCTCTTTTGTAAAGTGCTTTGAGATCTATGGATGAAAAGTACTATATAAGAGTTTGGTATGTATTATTCATCAAAAATTGTTTTTTCCTTCCCTATTCATTTTTATGGCTTTAATATAGTTAATATTGAATAAACCATGTATTAAATATATGTAACAATAGACTTTAAGAAAAATAAATCCATTGTTACCATATGTATCCAGGTACTTACTTTTATGGCCTTTATCACCCCAGTATCTGAGCTGCTAAATTTTGTGTGTAATGCAATATGCCATATCCTATTAATTACAATGATTAAAAGACCCTCCTTTGGGGAGGGTCAACTATAGGCTCCTGTAGTCCTTAAAAACCCAGTTAAGCCCTGAAAATATATCTTAAGTGGTGCTTTTGTGATGGTTTTGTGATGACCCTCAGCACAGTGATGAGTTTCACCTTGTTCTTTGGCATATGTGAAATAAATTATTTGGTCTCAGGTCAGTTCCTCGTAGAGAAGTGTTCACGTCCCAAAAATTAACCACACAACTTTTTACTAATTGGTACCCTTATTAGCATCCTCTGTAAAGGCCAAGAATTGATTGGCCATGGAGACTAAACACCCTTCTCGCCCCTTCTATGTCAGGCCCAAGGCACGCTGACGGGGAGGGGAAAGCGTGCACTGCTGAACCTGTTGTGTGGGTAAAAAATGGACTTGAGTCACCAGGGTTGTCAGTTCATCACCATTCATGAGCATGTTCAGGCACAAAAATGTGTAGAAGAAACAATATCTACTTTAAAATTATACTCTGCTTATTTAATCTTTTATTTTTTGACCGATGTTTGCCAAAGGACAAGTTTTGCCATCATACAAGCATGCAACTCTCATTGACTTTAGTCAAAATAATGCGTGTCCAAGAGCGCAATCTAGAGCTCTTTCTATTACTAAATCTGGTGACTTTGCTGTATCAGTTCAGTTTCTCTATTAAACTGAAACAGTCAAGTGAGCCCTGACCATATAAAAGTTAAATGACAAACAGTCATATTAGGAAACTACCATAAATACTAACTGCTGCCCCACTTCCCCCACTCCATCCATCAGAGGCATATCTATGGCTGTTCATTTTATTTTTGGAGATATTTGTACTACCAAGTAAAGTACTCATCCAAAGATCCACAGAAAGTGGAGAAGAATCCCAAGAATTTCCTGAAGTAATGGTGACAGGAGTTCTTTGCATAGTTACTGTGTAATTTTGTGGTAATGTTTGCAACAGCACAATCTTTCTATTGGTAACAATAATAATATGTTAATTGTGTTATCACCTTCTAGCTGTGCGGGTCAATAATATGCATTTTTTAAAGTTTTTAAACATGTATACTTACACTATTCCTGTTTGGAAAAGTTCCTAAATATGTAGCATATTTACAATTTAGGCCTTAGTGGCTCAGTAAGGAATTGCTATAGTCTATCAGGTAAATTATATGCTTTGGGGCATGGGTGGATGGCAGGTTTAAAAATGTTATTTACATGCTAATGTGTATATTAATGCATAGAGTGCCATTTTCCCACTTGCTAGGCTAAATCCACGTTGCAAGAAAGTGACTGCAGGCTTTTGAGGGATCAGATTGTTTGGCCATGCAGGTTTAATTAACATGAAAAATAAAAAGTTCACATTTAGAATACACAAAAGTAATGTCAAGGGTCTGGCTGAAATGTACAAAAGCTAGATAATTTAGAACTAAAGATGAAATCACGTCCTAAACTCACCCTGTAACTGTGTGTAAATAAGTTTTGCTCTGAAATGGCTATCGGGAACCTCATGCACTAAGCACTCTTACATGTACAATATGAGCTGTTATGCCTACATACAGTATGGTCAGTTAAAGGGAGCAGCGTTCCCTCCTTTACAAAAATGATTTTTATTTTGCAAACTCTGTATATTGGTAGGTTTTAAAAAAGGAAGAATTTTTCAGTAAACTAAACCAAGTGACAAAACCAGCAGTTCACCTCTGGTGCCCCTGCAGGCTGAAAATTCTACTCCTGAGGTGTATCTAATTGAAATTGCATATTGTAAGTTCCTCACGGGACTTTGATTACTTTGAAGGAGCAATATATTTTTAAAAAACTAAGCATTTAACTGGCTTTATAAATCCAATCCTACATATGTGGGACTAAAAAAAAAATAGATCTCCATGTGTTATAAGACTGGTACTTAGTCAGGGTTCACTCTGCATTTCTCTGGCTTTTGTTAGTTTCCATTAGACCCTTACTGCTATTTTAATGTATTATTTGTGTGTAAATTAATTAGCTTTAAAAAAAAAAGTGTTTCCAAAGCACCTAGTTACCTCTGAATAGCGAGTATAATATATACAGTAAGTGTTAACTAGCTTAAAGGAGGGCAGGTGAAGAATAAGCAACACGACTATATTGTGCTGTCGGGTGGGTTTTGTCTCTCCCCACTTTCCCCTCCATAAGAGGCTTCCATTCCTTTTTCATCCTCCCTGGGAATGAAGAAGGTCACAGATTTCCTGTTTGTTTGTTCTTTGCGGGGGGATGTTTTTAGATTATTTTGAAATGTTTTTAGTTTAAGCAATATTATCACACAATTTCCTAGCAGTGTTTAGCCTGTACGTCTTTCATAAAACGTGCTATTTATCAAACTCCCTGCAATCAGAAAGATACGGTGCCTTCTCTCCTCATCTCTTCCTCGAGAGTGACCTAGCACACAGTGACCTAGACCTCAGCACACGCAAAAGCCTACTTTTTATTTCTGAAAAAAAGACCAGTCAAGGCACATTTCCGTAGCCCTGGGTTACTGGTCCCTTTGATAAAGAGCACTCAATACTACCGTGCATTTAAAGCTTTGTGCAATAGAAGTTCTAGTTTTATATTTAGGAGCTAACACCCTGTACACCCAATGTAGGCAAATGTAAGCTTTACTCTAGGAGGATTCAGGTGACTGAAGAGTATATTCACAGTGGTTATATTTGCATGATGAAATTTTGGAATAAATAGTCCACCATTGTGCAACAATGTCTCTTACACTCATAACAAGAGTCTCTCAAAAATCATACTAATGGTCTCTCAGTGAGCATTTAAAAAACTTGATTGGTCAAGCACCCATGTGATCTCCAGCTATGGCTAACTTTTACCATGTTCTTACATAACTTTAAAATATGCACATAACGTGTTCATTTCAACTTCCTTAGCCATATCATCTTCAAATGGTGATACGCCATAAGGTCATTCCAGTCTAACTGGGACTAGTGAAGAATAGGGTTTTTGTCCTCTACATCACACTCCTACCTCCTCAGTCAGTACTAGCTAGCCTTTGTTTATTTCTAAAACTCGCTCTTTACACAGCAACATATGTCTAATTATATAAAAGTTTTTCATCATTAGAACAAAACAAAATTCTGGTCTTTCCTATTTCTAGTGAGATTACTTTAAAATGCCTTTCAGAGATTTTTATATATACACAACAGAAGTATACATATCACTTTTTATTGCTTACATGGACATAGATGGTCCAGCACACCAAACTCATTCTATTCTGTTCTGTTTAGAAAAATTGACCTATTCTGGGAATTGGATGGGTTGGCATGTACTTGACTGATCAATACCCATATCAATATGTTGTGTTTTCTGGAGTAATCCACTTAAAAAGGACTCTGTATAAATGTCTACTAAATATTTGTATTTAAATATTAAAAACCATTTAGTATTGAGATTAAAAAGACTCAGTTGTGAGGGAAGAGACTCCGATATAAAGAGAGACAAAAAATACCCTAAGCCTCCTAGAGCCTCTGTTAAGATTTCATGAAGATGCAATATCCCTTTGTCAAGGTACATTGCAAACTGCTCAAGAGTATTACTTTAAAACAAGAGAGACTGGGTTCCTACGATGTTCGTCTTTGTTGGCACGTGTTTTGATTTCTGCATTCATAACTATTTTTTCTTACACATGAAGTTGGTCAAAACAATCTTGTGCAGCAACAACTTTTCCTGGTATGAAATATGAAAATACTAGTTGTAAATTTGTATCTGTGCTGACAGAGTTGTTTGGTTTCTTTGCAATGTAGAAACACATTAAGACAAGCATTCTGTGGGTAGGTAACAGTTCGAGAGAGAGAGAGCGAGAGAGAGAGCTGCTTAAACAACAACTGAAATGTTGCTTTAGAAATAGCCCTGTTTATATGAGAGGGGAATGTGTCTGCTTGGGGGACAATGTCAAGGGCCATCAGTAAGCACTGAACCAGCACTGGCCCAGCAAAAAAGAGCCTTACAGAAGGCAAAGATGTAAGGAGCTGTGATTGTTGCATGGCGCATCACCTCTTCTGTGGATTGGAAGCAAACTTGCACTTTGCCTTTTGTTTTTTTTGTTTTGAGGACATCCCACTAAGAACATCAGATTAATTTTTCAGAAATAACATTTTTCCCAATGCCGTGACATTCTCCTTCTAGCAGAGGGGGAAAAAGGCCCTACATTAAACTATTAGGTAATTTCTGCTAAAGGTTTTCATTTCTATCAGAATAGTCTATGCATTTCTGTGTTGAAAGCTGTTTTCTGCTGTTCCTTTTAAGAAGACAGGCACTGTCTGTCCCACTCTCTGTAAATGCTCCAAGAATGTCAAGTGTGTGAATTTGGACGTTAAATCCAAAGTAAATTGAGACTAACTTGTTTGGGAGTGGGGGTGCTTTTGTTTTTTAAAATTGTTTCCCTCATGTCCCTTTTCATTTTTATTAAGAAATTAACTCTTTGCATTTGTGCAATAACTACTTGCCATGATAATGGGCAGACTTTTGAAATGAATGCCCTGACTACTAACACAGCACAAGATGAACTCAGACAGATAAAGTGGTGTACTTTTTCCTGAGAACTTTTTTGTTTTTAAATAATAAGCTCAGTTTTACCCCCGTGTATTGTGGTGTCTTACATTTTTAGCAGTATTTTATATTTTTTCTGTAACGCACTAAGTCTTAGACATTTTTAGAGCTTGTTTGTTATGTTCACAATCACAAATTTAAAAAAAAATCCTCACAAAGAACCAATTGACCAAAAAAGTGTCATTTTTTTTGTACAAGTAGCTTTGAGAAGCCCACGTTGTGTTGCTGTGACTCATCTTTTGTAACATTTTATTTCTTGGTATTTGTTTAAACATAAAAGTAAAAGTTTATGTGGCTGGCAATAGCAGGGAAGTACTCCCTCCGTCAGCAGAATGGCATTGTTTCTTCTGTCTTTGTTTGGTTAGCCATATAATGTTTGTTCTCAGCACTGTACAACGGTCCCTATATGATATGGAGAAGCAATATCACTGTATGAAACTCACATGATGTATTATTATTATTATTCACTAGCACCCTAGGTGTGATAATTGAAGTAAATATCTTTTATACAAACACAATAATGTGTGGGTTGTCTTTATTAAGGTGAGAGTTGAGATCTGACGGTCAAAGCAGCAAACATTTACATTGGTGGTTTTGATCATTTTGCTAATCAGTAAGGGTTTGGGGGTTTTTTTTGTTGGTAATTGACTTTCTAGCTTTGTATCTTGATTTCGCTGAAGAATCCGTTTTCAGTATCTTAAGTACTTTAAATGGCTATCTCCCATTAAATTCAGTATAAAGATTCCCATTTCAGTGGGAGTAGGATTGGATACTTAGGCAGCAAAGACTGGTTACGTTCTGAACTTGAGGAGAGAGATGAGGACCAAAATAGCATGTTAGATTTTTTTGTAAAATCATCGATTGTTGAGGTTACCAGTGACTTGTGATCAGAAGTGCTTACCATTCAAAAATATAGATGTGGCAGAACTTTGGCCAATATTTGGCTTGTATTTGACTGTATTTTTAATGGATATTCATAAAGAAAATTGTTTTCTCTTGTCGTGCCTTAAAATGTTAGCAGGCTGTTTTTTCCTGTAAGTATATTGAGTGCTTCCTGCAAGTTTAGAATTGAAAATTTGGTATTAAAGTAGTTATTTAGATTCAACAATGAAATTCTTTTTGAAAAAACAGTAGAAATCTGTAGCTTGAAATGTCTTCAGATTCAGTTGTAATGCATGTTTGTTTCATACTCTTTTACCAGTCCTGTTGTGATGTATTCTTTAAATTGTGACTTTGAGGTCACTGAAATTATTGCAGGACTGGGACCTAACCATATAATGTCTCCTCCTCAGTATCCGTGTATAGGCCTGTCTCTTTAACATTTTTCCAGTCCTGCAATAAGAGAGTATATATCTCTTTTTTCAGTAACTATTGATTATTCAATGGAGTTCACACTGCATGAGAGGAGGAATTTTAAAGAGCTAAAACTGTAGATTTTGCACTGTACTGTCCCACATTGTTGAGCAATATTTGGTGGTATGAAGTTGTATAGATATTAACCAGCTTTTTCCATCCCTTCAGGCTGTTCCAGAAATTCATCCTATAGGTTTATAGTCCGCTAAATTACATTAGCAAAATAACTATTGAAGTTCAAAATGAAAAGCTTGTTCATTCTGTATCTTTGCCGTCTCTGGCTTTGCTTATATTTATTATCTCAGGAGAGGACATTTATCGAAATACAGTATTAATAATGTTCAATACATTTTATTTAACTTTCATTATTCTGTAACTGCATTTCTTTACCTATGACATGTCTGTGACAGTTTGTTTAGTAAGATGTAAAAATTATAGTTTTAAATAGAAATTTTAATAATATGTAATGACTGATCAAACTGTTGATTTCTAGGAGTATAATAGGATTGTCTCGTGTAATGTTACCTCAGTCATTTTAATGTTAAAGTACCTATGCTTTAAAAGCAGTCTCACTCTGCTAGTTCATCTTCTGTATATATTTATAACTGTGCATGCTTTCAGGCGTACTAGGTTATGTTAACACCAAATATACTGGAAATGTACATGTAATTATGCAAGAGAAGTGTACCATTTTCAAAAACAGACAATTGCATCTGAACCTACACTGAGGAATTGGGGTTTCTTTTTCAGTGTAGCATGGAAACATTTTCCTGCTGTAAAATCAAATTATGCTCTTTGGCCCAAGTCCTTCTGAACTCTTTGCAGTTGAAGAAAATCACCTAAAACGGTGGGGTTCTGCATTAGTTAGGAGCAAGTCTCAGAAAGCTGAGAGGTGTGCAACCTGCTATTTTATGGAGTTACAAGAAAGAAATATGCATCCTATGTGCATCCCAGATCTTAATCTGAAGTGTTATGGGAAAGCCGAGACACCTGTCTCCAAAAAGAGAGGCGTGGAGTGTTAATGCCAACAGGCCCTTAGTGCTTGCTACTACAGCATTCCTATATGCCATTGTTGTTTTCATTTTAAATGGCTTCTTCTAGTGTCAGATGCTTTGATGATGCCCTGAGATTTTACAATGGAAATTGTAGTGTCAAGCAGACAAGCCTTTACTGTTTTTATCAGGAGAAAGTTTGTTTCTAGTATCTAACATTTTCTTCATTCTCTATTATTTCTTTTTGTTGTAATAAAGGTGATGAACAAACTGTTTACATTAGAACATTATTTTACTGTATTAAACAGTTATTTCTTTATTGCTACAAGCTGGAAGAGATGCTACGAGGAAATTATGATGGTTTTCTTGAACTTATTAGTTACCCATGTATGATCCTTTAAAAATCCTCCTTCATGAGAGAATTTCCTGCCTTACAGAGTGAATTCCATTGATTAACACTAAGTTCCTGGTTTCGGGGGGGGGAACCCCTAAATCACCCATCCTTTTTAGGGTTCCAAATTCCATAGTTACAGCAGGTGTCATTTTTTAAAAAAAAGTCAGGATTCTTTACTGCATGGTGTCTCGGATATCAGCATTTCCCCTGATAGCTGGAAAAGGAAACAACCAGTAACTGTGGAATCTGTAAGTAAAGGTTGACTTTTAAATGACAGCCACTGAGTCTTGCGGATGTGAGCCCCTCTCAGATGTTTATGAAATCTCAATCCTGTACTGTACGTGTGGTCAGTACTGCAGTACTTCGATGCCAATGTATACCAATGTGTGTTTTTGTTTTTAAATCTTTTGAACTCAACATACATTAGGCCAGTTTTTCAGCATAAATAAGCATAGTTCTATTTAAGTCAATGGAGCTGTGCTAATTGTGTAAATTTGGTCCTTGTCTTGTTAGTTCCTTTCCATTACATAAGCTTTCGAGTGCTGCGCACTGAATATGTATAATGTAAGCTACTGTCATAGTGAATTTTGGTAGCTTACTTGATTAGTCGGCTCTAATTTTGCAGTGACTACCTTGGAGATATTTCCAAGTGCATTGACAAGAAACTGGCTGCAAGAGAGACTGTATAAAGGACGTTAATTTATTGTAATGAGTGTGTTGTTTAGCCAAGATAAAAAGTTATTTCCTTCTGATAATCCTGCTACTCTAGATGGGTGTGATAATCTTTTCCAGCTAGTCAGACAGGCAGATGCTACTGAAGATCAGATCAGATCACCAGCCATGATTCTTTTTTCTCTTGCCCCCAGTTTGCATTGTTTGTATGAACAGTGCAAGTGACCTTTTAACTTTCATTTCCAGTATAGTAAACGTGAAAAAATAACTAATGGTTCATTGCAAGTTGGACAGGAAGGGCAGAAGCTTAAATGTATCTTGAACTTTTCAGGCAAAAGACAATGGGGTATTTGGTCTCAGATGCCACAAAGCAGCCTCTTGTTGCAGTGAGCAGTGACAGGGACATCAACATTGTCATAAAAAGAAAAGGAGTTCTTGTGGCACCTTAGAGACTAACAAATTTATTTGAGCAAAAGCTTTTTGATGAAGTGAGCTGTAGCTCACGAAAGCTTTTGCTCAAATAAATTTGTTAGTCTCTAAGGTGCCACAAGTACTCCTTTTCTTTTTGCGGATATAGACTAACACGGCTGCTACTCTGAAACCTAACATTGTCATATTCCACCTTTCTGACCTGATCTTGGTGTGAGAGGCACACTTTGCAGGAAGAAAGGGAAGAGCATCTATGAGCTCTCTGCATTTCTTTGCTTTTGTGCATAGACCTGATAATTGTCCTGAATAGGGTATTCTCTTATTCTGAGACTGTAAGACAATACTGTACCTGGCCCATTCTCCCACTTTTAAGTTCTAGAGACATAGTAATGTACATAGGAAAGCCATTCCATCTTAAAATAGTCATGGACCTCTGTCTTTTCTGATCCAAGTGATTAAGAAAATTCATCCCCTTCTAGTGGCTCTCTGAAATAAAAGGAAAAAGTGGCAATAATTTATTCCTTCCAGATTGGTCCTTTTACTCATTTAGACTTGAATGAATTTGCTTACTCATCTGGGGCAGAAGAATCAGACGTCCATGGTTTGAAGATGAGGTCTTTTCTTGATGCATAAATGTGTCAGCAGATGTTACCATTGGCTGTCTCTGGGCTCCTTTCTCCTTTTTCCTCCCTCCCCCAACACACAATTTTTATGGATTCCAGTGGGAAAGGCATGACGTGTGTCAAATGCCAGCTGATTCCAGAGTTCTTTGAGTGTTGCCATAATCAGTTTCCTCTTTTGGGGTGCACCTGTGCACTGAACCAGAACCCTTTGGAAAGATTTATGCTATATTCTGAAGGTCTGCAGAGAGACCAGTGCACTTCAGCCAGGAGACTTTTCTAATTGTTACAGCTGAGCTACAGATTGGGCAGATGTGCCTGAGCGTTACAGGGAGCTTTTAGAGAATGCTTTTCACAACTTTCTGACCCTCAGCTGCTATCTTTTTTTGCCCCCTTTTTAAACTGAAGAAGGTGAGATGCTCTAGGAATGGTCTTGTGCCAGGTACAGATGTAATAAATAAACACAGCTTGATTGCTACTCATCTGTAAAGTGACTGACTAATCTGACTTCCAGCCTAGCTCTATCTTCTGGGCATATTTGTCGCCTAGGGTGGTGATCTGAGATCTGACTGGCCATGCCTCCTTCAGACACTATTAAAGAAGAAGAACTTGAAGTAGTTTGAACTTTGCACTGCTCAAGACAAAGGTCAGTTTGTCTGACACCTGGAACAGTCATCCGTGCAGAGTGGCTGTCTTTGTTAATGAAGGCCTGTGAGGCATGGTTCAGTATTTTATGGAAGACACCAGCCTTCATCTCATCAACTTTATGGAAAGCAGAGTGACAATATTTGGCCCCTCCTCAAATAATTGATTATTTTTTCAAAGTCAAATATCTCTACACTCCTGATGAGACTATTTTGGCAGGAGTGATGATGCTTCTGTTATATCATCTTCTATGAGAAAATACAAGTTGTTTTGGATTCTGACCTCTATAACCTCGTCAACAGGAATGTCCTTTACTAATGGCATAATTTAAACTTCAGTGAGGCAGGTACTAACTGGTACTTTGATAGGCAGAAAAGACTGATCTCACTGGAGATTTGTTTTTTTGTTTGTTTTTTTTTAAATATGGAATGCTTCACGAATTTGCGTGTCATCCTTGCGCATGGACCATGCTAATCTTCTCTGTGTCGTTCCAATTTTAGTGTGGATCTGATGCAAGGCAGAAAAAGGAGACTACAGCATTATCAGCACTCCAATCATGTCTCCAAGACTGCTGACCCAAACACTGAACTTCCTGCACCAAACAGTTACCTCTCAGATGTAGGTTCAACCATGATCTCTGTATCTATTAGAAGAGAAGCAGGGCACTAGGGGATGAGGGTGCCATCTCTCCTTTCTTTCTTCCATTGCTGAATGCTGACAGAGAACTCTCCAGACCCTCTCAAAATGCATTGATGTACCCCAACTCAACAAAGAGCCTGAAACTAGCTCTAACTGATATGCCAGTTTGGAAGCTCTCCCATCAACAAGGATTAGAGCTATGACTCCTAATACTTGTGGACCCCAGCAGTGAATTTCAGACAGGGGGAACATCTACTGGGCAAGTGCCCTTCACCAAAGCATCTGAGGTGTTGGTTAGGGAGGTCAGACATCAATATCTTGCCTCCACAAAAAGAGCAATATGTAAACGTGATTTTCTTTCTGGGCTCTAACATTGCAGCAGGAGATTAATCTCATTGGGCTGCAAAGGCAGCTCCTGGAACAGATATTCCAAAAGAGATTAGAATGTACTTTCCTATGCAGACAAATATACATATCACCTTAACTGCTTCTAAATAACTATTCACAACAAATCAGTCCTAACTAGGGGGAGAGAAAAAAGAAAAGATGATCAATAAGCTAAGAATGTTGAGGTACCAGAAGGTGTCCTGACTTGCTGCTTCAGTGCCTGGGTTCCAGCCCTGGCTGTCACAGACTAGCTTTGACCTTGGGTAAATCACAGACTCCATGTCTCAGTTTCCCCATCCTTCAAGTTGGGATAGTATTGACCTATCAAATAGGGGCATTGCAAGTCGTAATCTCTGTAAAAGCATCTTCCTTCCAGTCAATAAAGTAATCTTAGAACCTCCAAGCCATCTGTGTTTCAGTGCACTTCCATTCTGTCTGTCCACTTCTAAGAGGATAAAGATAGGGTGGTTGTTTTTTTTTAAAAAAAAAAGTCTCTTCTAGCCTGGCAAATCGCTGCTGTTCTTGTTTTCTACAGAGTTATCTAAATCCAGGGTGTCCAGGACATTTAGAAAACAAGCTATCAACTAGTGGAATCATAAAGCTTCCCTCTTCATTTGTCAAGCCATATAATCTCAAACTAAATTGCTGTGGCATCTCAGTTTCCTCCATCTGTGGAAACAGATGCTGCACATGATTTGCCAAGAGAGTCCAGTCACTAGGATTATTTCCATGTCTTGAAGTTCTTATCACTCTGAGAACTGTCAGGGTTTCTTTATTATGAACATGCTTCTGATGTGTGTGTACATCTGCTGGATTCTTAACTACCATGGTTGAAGTGCCATCGGAGGCTCAGGCTGTCAGTATTTTTTTTTTCTTGATATTAAAGACAAGAATTTTAACCTTCAGTTTAAGGAGAAAAACTGTTCAATTCTAAAATTGACGATACTCTCACAAGTGAAAAGGGTGGGCAAATAATTCAGTGCAAGTTGCTATCAAACTTAGCCAGAACATTCATGATTGGTCTAAACCTATTACAGTCAACCTTTTCGTACAATCTGTGTTCTCTTCCTTTGGATGTTAGTGTGGTCAGCCCTAATCTTTTCAAGTGGACAGCAAAACCCTTTTAAGACCCAGAAGGCCTGCATATGCCTTCACGTATGATGCTGTCCATCAGACAGTAGTTTGGATGGCTCACTGAAGAGCACTCAGCGCTAGCATTTTCCTTTTCAGTACTCTCTGGTCAGGAGATGCCTTTATTCACTCCAGTCTGCCAGGTCAGCCCTTCTGCTCATTAAATGATCCTTTTCAATAATCCCTGTCATAAGAGTCTTCTTCCTAAATGATCCAGTCCTTACAAGAGACTTGCTCCAACTCCCATTGTTGTCAATGGGAGTTGGATCAGTCCATAATTTGAGTAACTCAGAAATGGTTCTAAGATCTCATACCAAAGAAATCAAGGGGACAGAGGCTTTCGTTCGTTATGATTTGACACCTTTCCTTTCCTAAATCAGGAAGATTCTTTGTGCCCTCAGTTTCTGGGAGGCATATTTGCACATGGCCACTTGCCCCTTAGTTATTTCCTTTTTCAGATGCTGGATTCCAGTTTTCAATTGTGTGCATTTCATGAAAACTTTTCCCTCAGCCTTTTGTGTTTTCACTAAGCTCCTAACCATAATGGCTTCTGACCTTTTATCCTCATGCAAGCTGTCTGATTATTTAAGAGGCGTTTTCCATCACTAATTTCTATGACCCAGTTCTCCAACTGGGCCATCTCCTCCACCACCTGAAACATGCTCACCCAGCCTCAGCATCCCCCAACTAGCTCTTTTCAAGTCAGAGGGGATTGCACACTAGGGAAATGGATTGACATTTCACATGCATGCCAGTTCTCATCTGACTGAAGTGTGTCATTTAAATTGCTTCCTGACCTCCAGGGACTCTTGTAAACATCACCCCATAGGCAATTACCCAATAGAAGAATTCATTTACCAGATGGAAGCCCCAATTTAGCTCTTATTCCCGTGACAGTGGTGGTTTTGCTAAAATCCAGGTGACAAGATTCAGGTTTAATAGAACAAAAGACGTACATGGAGGACAGCGTTTATAGCCCAGTTAGAATCAATAGTGGCAATATATCTCAACTACAATTGAGATCACCTTAAACTAGTTATCTTGCAAGGATTTAGGGCTCAATTCTCATCTCACACATGGGCATGCATCACTCAGCAGTCTGGGAATCTTGCTGTGCTTATGTCAGCTTGTATAGAAACCCCAGTTTCAGGATATACAACGCTGAGTGCCCATATGCCTGAGATGAGTTGTCTTTTCTCTAAACCAAAAGGATATTCTTTGCCAGGCTCATATTCCTGTCAGCCTTCTCAGGCAACAAAGGATGTTAAAGACGGTTTTGTCTTTACTGCGGTGGATCAGAATTCCAGCATTGTACAAATGTCAATCCCCAGCCCCTGGCATACTAGTTAGAGGAATCCCAGTGCCACCCACGACAGAAAGTCAGACAAATTAAATTACCTTCCCACCTCCCTGCTGGCGCAGAATTCCAATACAGTGCTGGTGGAATTAGAAAAGATAAGCAAACAGGATTTGTCTTGGCAATGGTACCCACTGCCAGTTACGGCTTATCTCATGAATGCTGCCAGTATTGTGAACAGTTTAGGTAGGGCTCCTTGTTGCTCCTCAGTTTTCATATCATTTACACAGCAGAATAGCTTAAATCAAATGAGAAAAGAAGCATGTGGCAAGATCATTCTGTTGCAATTATGCAAGATGTCTGTCTTTGAGAACTTTAATGTGATTTCTAGCTCTTCTAGTAAAATCATGCAACGATGCATTCAAAACTGTTTTGTTGAAATTACTAGATTTAGACAAAAAGAAAAGGAGTACTTGTGGCACCTTAGAGACTAACCAATTTATTTGAGCATGAGCTTTCGTGAGCTACAGCTCACTTCATCAGATGTATACCGTGGAAACTGCAGCAGACTTTATATACACACAGAGAATATGAAACAATACCTCCTCCCACCCCACTGTCCTGCTGGTAATAGCTTATCTAAAGTGATCAACAGGTGGGCCATTTCCAGCACAAATCCAGGTTTTCTCACCCTCCACCCCCCCACACAAATTCACTCTCCTGCTGGTGCTAGCCCATCCAAAGTGACAACTCTTTACATAATCAAGTCGGGCTATTTCCTGCATAGATCCAGGTTTTCTCACATCCCCCCCACCCCCATACACACACAAACTCACTCTCCTGCTGGTAATAGCTCATCTAAACTGACCACTCTCCAAGTTTAAATCCAAGTTAAACCAGAACATCTGGGGGGGGGGGGTAGGAAAAAACAAGAGGAAACAGGCTACCTTGCATAATGACTTAGCCACTCCCAGTCTCTATTTAAGCCTAAATTAATAGTATCCAATTTGCAAATGAATTCCAATTCAGCAGTTTCTCGCTGGAGTCTGGATTTGAAGTTTTTTTGTTTTAAGATAGCGACCTTCATGTCTGTGATTGCGTGACCAGAGAGATTGAAGTGTTCTCCGACTGGTTTATGAATGTTATAATTCTTGACATCTGATTTGTGTCCATTTATTCTTTTACGTAGAGACTGTCCAGTTTGACCAATGTACATGGCAGAGGGGCATTGCTGGCACATGATGGCATATATCACATTGGTGGATGTGCAGGTGAACGAGCCTCTGATAGTGTGGCTGATGTTATTAGGCCCTGTGATGGTGTCCCCTGAATAGATATGTGGGCACAATTGGCAACGGGCTTTGTTGCAAGGATAAGTTCCTGGGTTAGTGGTTCTGTTGTGTGGTATGTGGTTGTTGGTGAGTATTTGCTTCAGGTTGCGGGGCTGTCTGTAGGCAAGGACTGGCCTGTCTCCCAAGACTTGTGAGAGTGTTGGGTCATCCTTTAGGATAGGTTGTAGATCCTTAATAATGCGTTGGAGAGGTTTTAGTTGGGGGCTGAAGGTGACCGCTAGTGGCGTTCTGTTATTTTCTTTGTTAGGCCTGTCCTGTAGTAGGTAAGGTCGGAATATGAACAAGAGGCTGCTCGGCAGCTCTCCAACACGAGTTTCTACAAGCCATTACCCTATGATCCCACTGAGAGTTACCAAAAGCAACTACAGCATTTGCTCAAGAAACTTCCTGAAAAAGCACAAGATCAAATCCGCACAGACACACCCCTGGAACCCCGACCTGGGATATTCTGTCTACTACCCAAGATCCATAAACCTGGAAATCCTGGGCGCCCCATCATCTCAGGCATTGGCACCCTGACAGCAGGATTGTCTGGCTATGTAGACTCCCTCCTCAGGCTCTACGCTACCAGCACTCCCAGCTACCTTCGAGACACCACTGACTTCCTGAGGAAACTTCAATCCATCGGTGATCTTCCTGATAACACCATCCTGGCCACTATGGATGTAGAAGCCCTCTACACCAACATTCCACACAAAGATGGACTACAAGCCGTCA